CCAAGGGTCATAACAAATCTGGAAGACAGCTCAAATGAAAATTTCAGCTCTCTACCAGCATTTCGGATATAAACTGACTTCATGAGTTGCAGACCAACTGGAGTGTTATGTATCACGCGAGTAATTTGTGAACTTGTATTTTCACCAAACCGTTTGTTATGTATACGCTAAACCAATGAAACTATCTACGCCACAATGATCAAGAAAATACCTTGTGGATATTATGCAAGTCATTTGTGTTTGAGAGATAAGCAAGAAAAATTCATTTTCTAGTTTCAATTTTCACTCCAATCTTGAGATTTAACCATTAGTTTTGCAAATTGCTCCGATTAACTTCGTATCTAAGGTGTTTGCAAGATATTGGTGGAGTTGTTTTGGAGGAGGAAGCACTAAGCTACCTATTCTCTTGAGGTTTGAAGGTATCTTGCTAAGAAATCCTTATCTACTTCAATTGATTGCAAATTGGTGGATTAGCGATGTTATATATGCTATTTTGTGGAGGATTTTATGGGCTAGGGTAAAGCTTAGCCAATTTTGGATTTATTGGTGAATTTTCTGATTTTATATGATTATGGTTCATTGGTCTTGGAATGATAGCTTGTTGTGGTATAAAATGGAGCTTGATATATTGGATACGATTGTTTGCGGAAAATTTCTGGGTTGTGCGGAAATTCCGGTTCCTAGGGTTTAATTTTGGGGTTTTCTAATGGTTGGTTTTAAGCTTCTAATTGGCTTGATTGAAAGGGAATTGTGGCCTAATTGAATGTATGGTATTGCTTATGAACCATATGGGTGATTGTGGTTAATTGTTATGAGAATTGGTATTTGGTTGTAGGTTGGACAAATAAAGAAATGAAGGGAAAATGTTGTCCGAACTTTGAAAGTGTTTGATTGCTTTGAGATTGTGATCTAGGGCTTGAATTTGGGCAAGGCAATGATATATGATGGATGGTTCCTGAGCCGTGGAGGTGAGTGACCCTAAACTATTTCCAAAGTTACTTATGAACTGTTTCGTGCATTCTTTACTCAATTGCATATCGTGCGTGCTTGCCTGGAAGTTCATGGCATGATTTGGCTTCAATGAGTTCTTGCGGAGTCTTGTGCTGAACACCAACGTCTCCATCACTTGTTTATGTTCATCTAGAGCACAAAAGGGGCTCCCTCTTACTGTTTAACGTTAAAGGATCTATTTGAGCGTTGGATGTTTAAGTGCAATGATTTCACTGGCTCACCAGAGCAAAAATACGTACATTTGATCTCGAAATCATGACATTATCGAAATGCATTATTGTGAAATATATTTGATTACTGATTTTTTTTCTGGTTACTCGCTGAACTTCTAACTCACCCCAAAACTATTTTATTTCCCTCCACAGGGCTCGAGGCAAAGGAACCATTTGTATCAAAATTCTCCGTGTGAAGGGTTGGATGATCTCCTATACAGTTGGAGTTCTAGTTTTAGCTCGTGTAATAGTTGAAACTGCGATTGTACTTGCACTTATGTGAGAATTGAGGACCTTTGTTTTATTCGGAAAATTAGTATTTCTTGTATCTATTGAGGTTTTAGTTTGTTGTGCAAATGAATTTGTGGAATATTGGATGTAATATTTGGGATTTATCTTGTAATTCATTTGAGAACTGTAGTGAACGATTGAGTCCTGGCGAGAGTGGGCAGGCGGTCCGCAGAACCCTTTGGTTCGCCTTAGGGGGAGGTGGGGCTGTCACAGGTGGTATCAAAGCTTAGGCTCCAGATCTCTGTAGTGTATCCTAGACTTGAAGTTTAGGATGCCGCATTGTGGGTTTGGTTTGAAAAATAAGTGATTTCTTGTAGGACTGAAAAGCGGACACGTAGGTGTGGTTTGACTCTTAGTGCTTGCTTGGAATGGTTGAGTGACTTTTGAGGATTATTTGGATCTGGTAAGTACAAGATGGAATGTCGAGAATGATATTCTTTTAAGGATGGGAGATTGTGACGCCCCGAAAGGAGGGTTTTCATTTTATATATATCTTTGTTGGACGAGCGGAGGAGCGCAGCTTTTAAACTTGGAAAAGAAGAAAAAATTTTGAAAAAAAAAGTGAAAGGGCCAAATCCAGCCGCGGATTGTCTTTTGTTTTTGAAAAAAAATGATTTCGTCTCTGCCTTGAATCCGGCCAAGAATCCGGCCGAAAATCCGGGCAGATTCCGACCAGATTGTGGCGTGGCATGTCGGCCATCAACTTTGACCAGTTGATTTTCTTCCTTCTTATACTGTTTTGGGCCAAAAATATCTTCATTTCTTTCCCCTGGCCAGCCGTGTGTTTGAGAGGGAAGCAAGAAAACTTCATTTTCTAGTTTCAATTTTCACTCCAATCTTGAGATTTAACCGTTAGTTTTGCAAATTGCTCCGATTAACTTCGTATCTAAGGTGTTTGCAAGATATTGGTGGAGTTGTTTTAGAGGAGGAAGCACTAAGCTACCTATTCTCTTTAGGTTTGAAGGTATCTTGCTAAGAAATCCTTATCTATTTCAATTGACTGCAAATTGGTGGATTAGCGATGTTATATATGCTATTTTGTGGAGGATTTTATGGGCTAGGGTATAGCTTAGCCAATTTTGGATTTATTGGTGAATTTTCTGATTTTATATGATTATGGTTCATTGGTCTTGGAATGATAGCTTGTTGTGGTATAAAATGGAGCTTGTATATATTGGATACGATTGTTTACGGAAAATTTCTGGGTTGTGCGGAAATTCCGGTTCCTAGGGTTTAATTTGGGGGTTTTCTAATGGTTGGCTTTAAGCTTCTAATTGGCTTGATTGAAGGGGAATTGTGGCCTAATTGAATGTATGGTATTGCTTATGAACCATATGGGTGATTGTGGTTAATTGTTATGAGAATTGGTATTTGGTTGTAGGTTGGACAAATAAAGAAATGAAGGGGAAATGTTGTCCGAACTTTGAAAGTGTTTGATTGCTTTGAGGTTGTGATCTAGGGCTTGGATTTGGGCAAGGCAATGATATATGATGGATGGTTCCTGAGCCGTGGAGGTGTGTGACCCTAAACTATTTCCAAAATTACTTATGAATTGTTTCATGCATGCTTTACTGAATTGCATATCATGCGTGCTTGCATAGGAGTTCATGGCATGATTTGGCTTCAATGAGTTCTTGGGGAGTCTTGTGCTGAACACCAATGTCTCCACCACTTGTTTATATTCATCTGGAGCTCAAAAGGGGTTCCCTCTTACTGTTTAACGTTAAAGGATCTATTTGAGCGTTGGATGTTTAAGTGCAATGATTTCACTGGCTCACCAGAGCAAAAATACGTACATTTGATCTCGGAATCATGACATCATCGAAATGCATTATTGTGAAATATATTTGATTACTAATTTTTTTTTCTGGTTACTCGCTGAGCTTCTAGCTCACCCAAAACTTTTTTATTCCCCTCCACAGGGCTCGAGGCGAAGGAAGCATTTGTATTAAAATTCTCCGTGTGAAGGATTGGATGATCTCCTGTACAGTTGGAGTTCTAGTTTTAGCTCGTGTAATAGTTGAAACTGCGATTGTACTTGCACTTATGTGAGAATTGAGGACCTTTGTTTTATTCGGGAAATTAGTATTTCTTGTATCTATTGAGGTTTTAGTTTGTAGTGCAAATGAATTTGTGGAATATTGGATGTAATATTTGGGATTTATCTTATAATTCATTTGAGAACTATAGTGAACGACTGAGTCCCGGCGAGAGTTGGGCAGGCGGTCCGCCGAACCCTTTGGTTCGCCTTAGGGGGAGGTGGGGCTGTCACAATTTTCATACCTTCTACTTCACCATGGCTAACAAGGGAGAAGCGAGCTCCCCAGTTTTTGATCTTAAACTTTTCACAGAGGCAATAAAAAACGAATTGGGACGCATAATGGACCAAAAACTTGAATTGCTGCACCAACGCATTGATAGTTTGGAGTTGTTCCAAGGAGGTTCCAAAGGCAGCCGTGGTAGGATACATGCACACGAATCTAGCGACTCTAACTCGTACCACGACTATGAGCCTTACCAACGGAGATCCAAGTGAGAAAATAGACCAACAAGTGACCACATTCCGGGCATAAAAGTGAAGATTCCTTCCTTCCAAGGACGATCGGACCCCGATACATACTTGGAGTGGGAGAAGCGGATTGAACTTGCCTTCGGTTGCAATGCCTACTTGGAGGAGCAAAAGGTCAAGTTGGCCGTGGTCGAATTCAGTTACTGCACCGTTGTGTGGTGGGATCAACTCTTCACTAGCCGAAGAGGAGTGTGAACCCGCCGTACAAACTTGGACCGAATTGAGACAACTAATGAGGAAGCGTTTTGTACCAAGTCACTACTACCGTGACTTGTACCAAAAGCTTTAAACCCTCAGTCAAGGAGCTCGAAGCATCGAGGACTACCATAAGGAGATGGAGGTACTTATGTTGCGAGCAGACATCACAGAGGATCGAGAGGCAACAATGGCGCGCTTCTTGAATGGATTAAGGATCGAAATTGCTGAGCAAGTGGAATTACACCATTATGTGGAACTTGGTGACTTGGTGGAGAATGCCATCAAGATTGAAAGGAGGATTAAGAGGAGGGGTCTGTCTCAGAGTTACTCCAACTTTTCACCCACTTATCCTCGAACTACACCACCAAAAAGGGAGGATAAAGGGGCGAGTAGTTCCACCCCCTCTAGACCAAGACCAGATATGACTAAGTGGAAGTCTAAGGCACTACCAAGGACTGCCATTGAGTTGGGCATGGGTCAAAACCGAGATACCAAATGTTTCATGTGCCAAGGCCAAGGGCACAGCGTTAGTCAATGCCCAAACCCACGCACTATGATCATCTTGTCAAATGGCGAGTTTCTCACCGATAATGAGGATGAAAAGGAGGAGTTGCCATCACGTGAGGAGGAAGAGGAAGAAGAGGAAGCATTGCCCATCAATGAACAAGTTGGACTCATTGTTAGATGAGCCTTAGCAACCCTAGTCAAGGCCATCGACCATGCCCAAAGAGAGAACATTTTCTACATCCGATGCTATATCAAGGGAAAGGTATGTAGCTTGATCATCGATGGGGGTAATTGTGCTAATGTTGCTAGTGCCTTGATGGTGGAGAAACTAGCACTACCCACTCTATGCCATCCAACACCTTATTGTTTTGCAATGGTTGAACGATAGTGGGGATGTTCGTGTCACCAAACAAGTCCAAGTACCTTTCCAAATTGGGAAGTATGAGGACGTGGTGTTGTGCGACGTGGTCCCTATGCAAGCGTGCCATTTATTATTGGGGAGACCATGGCAATTTGATGGCGTTACCAATAAATACTCCTTCAAACAAGGTGCGAAGAGGATTGTTCTTGTGCCACTTACTCCGAGCCAAGTCCGTGAAGATCAAGAAAGCTTGCTCAACGAGAGTGAGCTCAAGATTGAGAAGAAAAAGATAGAAAAGGCCGAAAGCTCAAAAGAAAATAACAAGGCCGAGAAAATTGAGAGGGAAAAGGCATGTAGTGAGCTAGCCAAAATAGAATGTCATGCATCTATATTGAATGTCACGCACTCACACACGCATCTATATTGAATGTCATGCACTCATACACGCACTCACACACGCATCTCTTCCTGACTTTTCTAATACATTTGAAATTGAATGTCATGCATCAGGGATTGGCATAGGAGCAGTGTTGATTCAATGAGGATGACCAGTTGCTTACTTTAGTGAGAAACTGAATGGTGCAATGTTGAACTATAGCACCTATGACAAGAAGCTGTACGCTTTGATTCGAGCACTTCAAGTGTGACAATACTACCTCTGACCCAAGGAGTTCGTCATCCACACCGACCATGAGTCGCTCAAGTTTCTCAAATCTCAAAACAAGCTCAGTAAGAGGCATGTGTAATGGATCTCATTGATAGAGACTTTTCTGTATGTCATAAAATACAAAACTGGTAAGTCCAACATAGTCGCTAATGCATTCTCACGAAGGTACTCTCTTATCTGTCCAGTTGTGAGATTTATCAGAACTTGGCCTACACCCTTCCTAAACTACTTGGTTTTGAGCTTATCAAAGATTTATATGCAACTGATGAAGATTTTAAGTTAGTGTTTGAAGCATGCAAGCAAAAGGCCCAAGAGAAGTTCTTCATAGCCGACGGGTTGCTTTACTACTTGGACTGACTATGCATCCCCAAATGCTCAATCCGTCAATTACTGGTTAAAGAATCTCATAGTGGAGGACTAATAGGGCACTTTGGGATAGTTAAAACTCTCTCAATCTTGCAGGAACACTTATACTGGCCAAACATGAGAAGGGATGTCGAGAGAAAGGTTGCATGATGCATTCAATGCCTTTGCGCCAAATCCAGGGTAAACCCACATGGTCTCTACATGCCTTTGCCTATACCTAGTGAACCATGGGTTGACATTTCTATGCATTTTATTCTTGGTTTGCCTAGAACAAAAAAGGGACACGATTCCATCTTTGTCATAGTAGATAGGTTCTCAAAAATGGCACACTTCATTGCTTATCACAAAACTGATAATGCACCATATATTGCTAACCTATTCTTTAAAGAAGTAGTCCATTTGCATGGTATTCCCCGCACTATTGTCTCTGACCGTGATGTTAAATTTCTGAGCTACTTTTGAAAAACACTTTGGTCTAAGTTAGGCACTAAGTTGTTGTTTTCAACTACTAGTCACCCTCAAACTGACGGCCAAACCAAAGTAGTTAATAGGACCGTGTCTACCATGTTATGTGCCTTAATTAAGTACAACTTGAGAACGTGGGAACCACACATTGAATTTGCTTATAACTGCTTTACCCACTCTACTACTCAATTTTCACACTTCCAATTGCTTAATGATTTCCATAATATTGCAGTATGAAATGATGATTTCTGAAAAGAAAATGATTTTGGCAAAACAAGAAATTCCATTTCTCGGAATGAAAATTTCCAATGGTACTTGTACACCTGAGCAACATGTTGGACAATTTTTTAATTCCATTTCTTACTGCAAGAATCTCAACCCGTTAACACCACTAGATCTCATGCCTTTACCTTTGAGTCAACATGCAAGCCTTGATGGTAAAAAAAAAGGCCGAAATAGTAAGACAACTTCATGAGAAGGCACGAGCAAACATTGAGAAGCACACGGAGCAATTTACCAGACATGCCAACAAAGGGCGCAGGCAACTACTATTCGAACCTGAAGACTAGGTGTGGCTACACATGCGCAAGGAGCGCTTTCCTGAGAAAAGGTGAAGCAAGTTGATGCCTTGCGGAGATGGACCCTTTCAAATCCTTGCCAAAGTCAATGACAACACCTACCAACTTGACCTCCTAGGTGAGTATAGTGTTAGCTCTACTTTTAACGTCGCTGACTTGCTCCCATTTGATGTAGGTGATGACTTCGATTTGAAGACAAATTCTTCTCAAGGGGAGGGCACTGATGAGGAACCACCAAGACCTCAAGTTGTCACTTCAAGAGGCTCGAGTGAGGATGATCTACGTGCACCATCAGTGAGTCTTGGACCGATGATTCGAGCAAGGGCAAGGAAGATGCGAGAGAACCTCCAAACATCTATATGTATATAAATTTGAGAAGGGATTTTTAATAACAAGCCTCCACAACCCTTCCCACTCTCAACTCTATTGTCCTAGCATTTTGCATTTATCTTATTTCGTAAAAAACATCATGGGCACATTACATCGCCACGTTTCCCTCAAATAAGAAGTTAACTCCAACTAACACTCTCACGTTCCCTCAAACAAAAATTTAACTTCCACTTACATTAAAACTCTTTCCACTTACCCGCGCGTCAGATGATTGTGGTATCACTACTGATTCCATTTTCCAGTGAGTTGAAGAGCATTGACGAGAATAAAGATAGCCCCTAATTCAATGGAATTGAAGATAGCACATGATCTTTTCCAACTGCCACGGAGCAACAATATACTTGGTACTTAGCCCCTAATTCAACGGAATTGAAGATAGCACATGATCTTTTCCAACTGCCACGGAGCAACAATATACTTGGTACTACTACAAGTAACTCTTACAATTTCACTCCACACCCACCTTCCCACTACAATTAAAACCCTTCCAATCAACTTCCTTCTCGAACCTCTCAAATTAACTTCACAATGAAACATGGCCGTTTACAGGCATGTCAACAACGCTTAAATTTCAAACTCGCAAGATTGCAAAGGAGGAAACATCTGCTAACAAAACGAAAAGGACGCCACAACGGTCCTGCACAAGAATTGGAAAAGTTCCAACAACTTTGCGTCGACGAAAGAGAAATCTCACATCAACTACAATGGATAAAATCTCGACTACACCGATTCAAACGCCGCAGCAATCAAATTAGAAGTTTCGGTACTATTTATTCTTTTAATATTGATATTTTCATTGTATTTTCAATTATTAATAATATTTTCAATATTATAATATTATTGTTGTTTCCATTGTTTATAAGCATTAAGATTCTTTAAATATTCTCCTTCTTCACATGTTACTAATTTAAATATTCTCCTTCTTCACATGTTACTAATCCTTGCTGGCTCAATCAACAAAGTATGGTACTATGGCTTTTATGTGAGTTTAGGCATTTAGACATATAGTTCTCATTGTATTAGTAATTAATCAGATTAGTCCCGGAACATGGTCATAGCTTTGATTAGAGACAACGTTTTTTTTTTCATTAAATGTCTACCTAAATGTCTCTTTCATGAAATAGTCCCGTGACTGTTTTATGAATAGTGGGCATAACGGAAAAAAAGGAGATACAATCTTATGTGTGTATGCAATACATTATAAAGGAAATTATAATTAGATGTAATAATACTCAAAACAAATCTATTATTTCTACACACAAAGCGCTAAAAGTTTAGAACAAAAATGGAGATTAAGATATTTTCTCCAGTCACCTCGAGTGACTATCCAGACTTAGAGACCAATAGCTGGGGAAACTGACGAGGGAGTAATGTAACATTATACTGAACAAGGAATGCAGTTTGCATTTATTGCAGAAGTCTTTGGTGGAAGATCATGCTTAAAGTGCTTCACTATAGCCCTTTAATTTTGACAAAGATAATGAGTAATTCCCAAAAGTAGACTACGTCCCACATTATGGCTGAAAAACTGATCATATCATGAGTTGTGCTCATGATGTGACTTATGTTGGTTTTACCCCAAACTGTTAATATGGTAGCATATTGTTGTAGTACTATTAATTCTGATCACGAAAAATAGTAGTACTCTTAATTATGAGTTGTGATCTTTCGAGTTTCTTCATTTCTTTGAAATAAGATGTTTTGAAGGTTGACATTAAGAGATTACTACTAGCGGGTAGGTTCGTTTTTTGTGTTTTGGCTTTTTTTTGGGGCAGATTTTGTGTCTTATTGCATTACATGTCCTTGGGCTGTTCAAATCTGGATTATGCTGTAATTTTGCTGTGGAAAATTGGAATCGTACAAGACAAAAATGTTGATGATCGAGAGAAAGAGCAAAAAAAAAAAAGGAATAGATTCAAAAAATAATTCTTGCAAATTAGAAATTTTGGTACTATTTATTCTTTGAATATTGACATTTTCATTATAATTTCAATTATTAATAATATTTCCAATATTATAATATGCTTGTTGTTTCCATTGTTTAGAAGTTTCGGTACTATTTATTCTTTAGATATTGACATTTTCATTGTAGTTACCATTATTAAAAATATTCCCAATACTATAATATTATTATTGTTTCCATTGTTTATAAGAATCAATTTAAAAATTTCGGTATTATTTACTCTTTAAATATTGACATTTTCATTGTAATTACAATTATTAATAATATTTCCTATAGTATAATATTATTACTGTTTCCATTGTTTATAAGAATCAAGTTAAAAGTTTTGGTACTATTCATGCTTTAAATATTCTCCTTCTTCACATGTTACTAATCTTTGCTAGATGATTCAACAAAGTATGGTACTATGGCTTTTATGTGAGTTTAGACATTTAGACATATAGTTCTCATTGTATTACTAATTATTTCGTGAAATGTCTACAAAATGGCAGACTGCTACCTGGTCTCAAATTACACACTTTGACTTCTAATTCTTGCAAATTTAGGAATTGGGCCTCTGTCTTTATGTGATTTTTAACTCTTAAGTATCTTCTTTGAGGCAAAAATTCAATCTTTTGCTTAACTTTTAGTGGAAAACAGAAATTGCTGAAGGTGTAGAGTTCTACTGCGTGGGTATCCTTTGAAGTATAATGGTTGTACTTAGAGATCCAGTATTGTTGTCAATATGTTTGATGTGCCAGAAATCGGTACCTAAATTTGACTCCTTTTCGTTGTTGAACAAAACTTGGCAAATTGAGTACCAATCATTGACAAACAATGATAACGGGAAAAACCTGTCATGTAGCCTGCTAAGAAATGCAAACAATTGATTTAGGTCTTGCGGTGAAACTGATCATGTCGGTTCAATCAAGTAAAACTCTAATTGAGGTTAATGGTATGGAACATATGATCCAATTTTTTGCAGCTGATTTAAAAAAAAAAAATTTGACTCATTATATCTGTAAAACAATGTAGGAACTGAAACCTTAGAATACAAACCTTCAAAATCCATAATTGATTATTCTTTCAAATTAAACATTGTGTAGAATCCCATACTAATATTTATAAAAGGTGCCATCGACATATAAGCTCATGAGAATGAGATGGTTGATCCTAAGAAGTAGCACAATCTAGCATAATATAGTAACTTTCCATAATAATATGCGCACGGGCATGTTGATAGGTGTAAAGCAAATGGCTCACGGAGCATCTTTCACACGCATACTTATGATAACGAGCATCTGCCCAACCAAAGCATCTTTTAGAAATCTTACTTATGGTAGGAATGAGGTTCTTAAAAAATGTAAAATTCATGTCACATCTTGATTATGCTATGCACGAGCACAATCCAGAGTGAGATGGTTTCCATTGTTTATAAGAATCAAGTTAGAAGTTTCAGTACTATTTATCTTTAAATATTGGTATTTTCATTATATTTACAATTATTAATAATATTCCCAATATTATAATATTATTATTATTTTCATTGTTTATAAGAATCAAGTCGATATTATCTATTCTTTATATATTGGCATTTTCATTACAATTGCAATTATTAATAATATTTCCAATATTATAATATTATTGATGTTTCCATTGTTTATAAGAATCAAGTTAGAAGTTACGGTACTTATTCTTTAAATATTGGCGTTTCCATTGTTATTTCAATTATTAATAATATTCCCAATATTATATTATTATTGTTGTTTTCATTGTTTATAAGAATCAAGTTAGAAATTTTGGTATTATTTATTCTTTATAATTTGGCATTTTTATTGTACTTCTAAGTATTAATAATATTTCGAATATTATAATATTATTGTTGTTTTCATTGTTTATAAGAATATGGAAAGAGTACCAATTGCTTACAAGCACTTTAATAAATACTAATGAAAGCTCCCCAACTACTTTGTTAATATGTTACATGTTAACAAATAGTACTAAAACGTATTATTGCATATGTAGTAATCAATCATAATGAATAGGATCACTACAATCTTATCTAATATCAGAGGTTCACATAAATATATCGTCATTTTACTACCAAAATTGCCAATCTGTTTGGAACAATAATTAACATAATAAAAAATATACTTTACTATTCTAAATGTTTAATTACATATCATAAAAAATATAGTGACCCAAAACTCTTATGGTCGAAATCATGCTTCACATTTCACATCAATTTCACCCACTAAATAATGTCTCAAACATAAAATATTACCAACTACTATCATAAACATTACCAAATTAAGGATAAATTTTCTCAATTCTTACTATTAAATACACATTTTATCATTCATTAATTAAAAAATAATTTTAGCAATCTAAAATACTTCTTTTCAATTTTTCTAATCTTTGCACATAACGTAATTTGTGTTAACAAATATTGCTATGTTTATTAGATCTTGCTATGGTTTTACATCAGACCACTCATGGTCATTTATAATATTCATACTGTATATTAGATTATTACATTTTTTATGAGTATACATTAATAATTGTAACTTAATTTAATACGTCTTTTAATACAATCATTTTAATATTCTTTTAGATCAAACAAATGATTATTCGACATCTTTTCAACTTCAACATCCATCGACCGCAGCCCCAATTCTCCATGATCATGGTAAATCCAAATTTATGCACAATTTCAAATTCATGCTTAATCATTAATTTTTTTTAACGTGCTACATTATTATATTAACTTTCTATATTGCATAATGATAGATGAATTGCATAATGACTCACCAACTACTGAAGTTCCTATTACACCTACATCATCAGCTAATGGTCCCGATGATAGTAAGTCCAAGTTTTCTCATGTATCTTGACTAAGTAATCAATTATTATTTATGCAATTCAATTTCTTCCAATTCATTTTTTCCATTTGACTTCTAAAGATCCATTATACAAACAGGCTCATCTGAAGAATTTGTTCCTGCTACACAAGACATTGTGCCTACTAACACAGTTGGAGCAGAACAAATCGGTATTCTACTAATACTTTTTTCATGTTACCATAATTAATATTTCTTGCTATATGTTCTTGGGCATACAAATATTATGTGCTTTATATCTTTCATTTAGTGATAGTTTTAGGTAAGTATTTTATTATACTTATTTCATCAATCAATTAGATCAAATAGGCCGAACGTGACGGCAACATCGAATCACAAGAAGATGGACATTTGGTCCAAGAACAGTAATCTGTCACAAATGTCAATCTCTAATGTGGGTGGAAGAAAGAATTCAAAGTAGTATAAAACAAAATCTAAGATTCAATTTATGTTGTCAAGACGGGGATGTTGTTTTACCGTTATTGCCTCAAACTCCCCAAGTTTTACAACATATATTTACCACTCCAACATTAAAAGAGAAGATTCGATTGCTGAATGCACTATTCGGGTTTACATCCATGGGAGGCAAAATAGATCATTCTGTAGTCAATTCTGTCGGACCATATTCATTTCGAATTAGTGGAGAAAATTATCATCTAATCAGATCGCTTCTGCCACCTCTTGGAGAATTAGATAGATTCATACAATTATACATCCATGATACCGATAATGAGTTGCAGAATCGTATGAATCTTTTGAACAGTCATGATGGCAATCCAATTGGAATTGATGCATCAATAGTTGAAGGATTGCAAAGTATGTTAGATGAAATAAATCCATATGTACAAGTTTTCGAAGTGCAAGGGACATGCTTCGAAATCAAAATATTGTCAATCTGCAAGTATAGATAATTAGTGCTCGAGGTGACAGACAATATATCCAACCAACTGCAAATAAAGTTGCTGCTTTGATTGTCGGTGAAGATACTGGTCATGTCACACACCGTGATATTGTGCTTGTCATTCAAGATGGAAATTTAAAAAGAATCAGTGAGAAACATCCATCATACATGCCACTTCAATACCCTTTACTATTTCCATATGGAATAGACGGATGGCATTGTGCAATAAGATTTTCACCCTCTGCCATTAGGAAGAGAGAATTTGTGTCCATGCGCGAATTCTATGCGTATCGTATACAATTTCGACAAAATGAAGGTTATACACTTTTGAAAGGTGCCAAACTATTTCAACAATTCATTGTTGATTGTTATGCAGCTATTGAACACTACAGATTAAATTTTATGAAAACCCATCAATCTCTATTACGTGCTGATGTATATCAAGGTTTAGAAGATGCTGTACTTGCTGGAGATACAGATGCATCAGCAGTTGGAAGAAGATTTGTTCTACCATCTTTATTTTCGGGTGGATCCCGAAATATGGTACAGCATTTTCAGGATGCAATGGCAATTTATAGAACAATTGGAAATCCAGATCTTTTCATTACATTTACTTGCAATCCCAGTTGGCCAGAAATTAAACAAGAGTTGACAAGAATATTGGAACAAAAAGTTGAGGACAGACCCGATATTACGGCTCGCGTTTTTCGGATAAGACAAAAAAAGTTGATGAATGTTTTAAAAAATACCCAACTATTTGGAAAAGTGCTTGCAGGTACAAATTTTACTTTATTTAAATCATTATTTTCTTTTTTCAATCCCTATTCTGCCATACACTAAGATTACTTCTATAATGTGCAGACATCTCTGTCATTGAATTCCAAAAACGTGGTTTACCACATACTCATATCACTCTGACATTAGCTCCGGATGATAAGCCCCTTACTACAGAGCAAATTGATGATATCATTTGTGCTGAAATACCTGACAAAAATGCTGATCCACTAGCTTATGATACGGTCATCAGGTGCATGTTACACGGACCCTGTGGTAATGCTTATCCAAATGCTCCGTGTATGGTGAACGGAAAGTGCTCTAAACACTATCCAAAGAAATTTTGTAGTGAAACCACTATTGATGAAGATGGATTTGTATCATACAGACGTAGAGATGATCCAAATAAGATGGTAACTATTAATGGTTTTACATTTGACAACAGATGGGTTGTTTCTTGCAATCGAGATTTGATTGTGATGTTTGATGGTCATATCAATGTGACCAAAGTTGCACGTCTAGAAATCACTAAATATCTGTACAAATACATGAGTAAGGGGGTTGATAGAGCAAATGTTCAGATTGAGAATAACGTTGTACTTGCAAATGAAAGTGGTCATCGTCGTTACAGAAGCGTTGATGAGATTAAACAGTACTTAGATTGCCGATATTTATCGCCAATTGAGTCATGTTGGAAGATATTTGATTTCAAAATGCAGAGACAGTATCCATCCGTGATTAGATTTCAGTATCATCTTCCTAATCATCAATTTATTATATTTAACGATGATAATTATCTTTATGACGTTCTTGATCGTGATCACATACATGACACGATGCTGACAAAATGGTTTGAAATAAATCAGAGCCATATTCCAGCTAGAAACTTGACGTTTGTGGAGTTTCCGAGTAAGTGGACTTGGAAGTACAATAAACGTCAATGGGAGTCCAGATTGCAAGGTAAGTGTATCGAAAGGCTACCATATGCACATCCTCATTCTGGTGAGCGATACTATTTGAGAATGTTGCTGAATAAAATTCGTGGTGCACAAAGTTTTGAACATTTGAGAACTATTGATGGAGTTGTGCATCCAACATTCAAAGCTGCATGTGCAACACTTAGTCTTCTGGATGATGATAATGAGTGGAACGAAGCTTTAGCTGAAGCATCTTCATGGGCATCTGCCAGAAAATTACGAAGCATGTATTGTACAATACTTATGCATTCTGAGGTAACCAACTCGTATGATATATGGCAGCGTCACTGGAAAAGTATGACAGATGATTTGCAATATCATATCAGAAGGGATATGGGAAACTCTCAAATACGCATTGATGATGGTGAGTTACAAAATTTGGGATTAATTGAACTCGAACTCATTTTGAATAAAAATGGTCGATCTTTACGAGATTTTCCACCAATGCCATTGCCGTCATTTGAAAATGCTCAGTTTTCCATGAACAGACTTATAAGAGAAGAGCTCGATTACGATTTTACATCAGAACAGCAATTATTTAATAATTTATATGCTGGTTTGAATGAGGATCAATTGAAAGCATATGATCTTATTGTGGAATCATACACACGTAATCACGGAGGACTATTTTTTGTGTATGGAAGTGGTGGGATGGGTAAACTTATTTATAGAGAACATTGATTGCTCGAGTCAGATCGCAGAGAAAAATTATTCTTTCAGTTGCATCATCAGGCATTGCTGCAATACTCTTACCGGGTGGAAGAACAGCGCATTCACACTTCAAAATTCCTATTAATTTGGATGAGTCATCAAGTTGTTCAATCAATAAAAATTCTGACTTAGCCAAATTAATTAGGGAGACATCTTTGATAATTTGGGACGAAACTCCAATGGCACATCGGCACGGTTTTGAAGCGGTGGATAGAACTTTAAAGGATATCTTAAAGTTGAGTGAAAATGATTATGAGGATCGTATTTTCGAAGAAAAATTAGTTGTTTTGGGTGGTAATTTTCGACAAACATTACCGATTGTTTCTAAAGGTAGGAGAGAAGCAACAGTATCAGCTACAATAAAAGAGTCAATGATTTGGGATCACTGTAGAGTACTGCATCTTAAAATAAATATGCGCGTAATGAATTTACGTCTTCCTGAAAATATGCGTCAGCAATTGACAGATTTTGCAAATTGGTTGCTGTCTGTTGGTGAAGGAAAGGTTTCAGCAATTTCACTTACTGAATTTGGGGAATTAAATTGGATTCGGATGCCGTCGCAATTTCTCATAAAAAATGACAGTCAATCTTTGATGTGGTTAATAGATTCTGTCTATCCAAATTTGAGAAATTCATACAAAAATAGCACTTACCTCAAGGAACGTGCTATTTTGGCTCCAAAAAATGGTGATGTTGACAAGTTGAATGATAAGATGCTATCAATGCTTCCTGGTCAATCACGTACCTACATGAGTACTGATACTTTTTGCAATACTGAAGGTGACATTGTTAAAAATATGAATCCTCCTGAAATGTTGCACTCTTTGAATTTTCCTGGGCTTCCAAATCATTTTTTGGAACTTAAAGAAGGAACTCCCATAATTCTTTTAAGAAATCTCAATCAGTCAGAAGGTCTTTGTAATGGAACACGACTTGTCGTTACCAGAATGGGGGATAAAGTTCTCGAGCCAGAAGTCATAACAGGATCTAATATTGGAGATTTAATACTCATACCTCGGATCTCTTTAACACCACAGAGCGCACGGACTCCTTTTCCAATTAAAAGGAGACAATTTCCTATGAAAGTGGCATTTGCAATGACTATCAACAAAAGTCAAGGCCAAACCTTGAAAAATGTTGGCGTTTACCTTCCTGAACCTGTGTTTTCACATGGTCAACTTTATGTTGCTCTGTCCCATGCTACTTTGCCAGTTGGATTGAAAATATTCATTGTTAATATAGATAATGATCCATGGGATTACACAAAAAATATTATGTATCGTGAGATTTTTTACTCCCTTTGATAAATTGTGGACCTCGCTTTATTTACAAAAATAGTATATTTACTTCATATTATATGTACTATATATGCTTCACACTTAGGCATTTTTTTTGTACTTCTTTGAATTTGTGTTACTTGCTGTATCAAATATAGCGCTTAAATAATTAACCTTCATGCTATATTATAATAATTTACAGATATTCCATATACACCTTTACTCCATTTGCATCCTTGTGGATACGGATAGAATGTAAAGGTTAGATTGTTTCGATTAATAGATATGACCATATATGGAGTGCTTCAACATTCGGGATGTATCAAGATTCTTTTTGTAGATGATCAGGTAATAACTAAGAGTGTATGTTATTTATTATATTGAATATTGAATATTTACTAATCTGTTGAAAACTATTAGAAATTTGTCATGCAGCGAGTTATAAGAGGCAGTAATATGATAAACATTTTCGCAGATCATCTCCATGAAGGCAAGGTATACTGGTTTCAAAATATATATGTAATTCCGGCAGATCTTAAATATCGGCTTGCACCACATCAGTACCAATTATCGTTTGGAAACGATACAAAGATAGTGAATATTTTAGATAATTGTGGAACCATACCCCGTTTCAAATTTAATCTGGTCAAACTAAGAGATACAGAACAGCACATGGACAATGATATGCAATTGATAGGTATTTCATTCATAATTAACCATACTTCTATTTAAGTTGTATATTTGAACTGGTATTACTTATATTTTTTTATCTTTTGCAGATGTAGTTGGTTTAGTTGTATCCGTTAGTTCACACTATCAAACATCTATCAATGACAAAACTAAGTGTAACATAATTTTTCTTGACAAAAGGTTAGTTACTAGATTCAATATCTTTAAAGTATTTTATATTCTACAAATTTTGATTTATACTTACCAAAATTGTCTAAATGAAGTTTGACAGTAGTTCGGTTGACTTTATGTGATAAATTTGCAACTGCTGATGGTGAACACTTGCGTCAAACTGTTACAAAAAATAATGTTTTGCTAGCCTGCGGTATTTGTGTGAGAAATTATAAAGGTAATTCAATTTATTTTCACTTTATTTTATTTAAATTTTATAGTTTATCAATAAATAAAGCACATTGTGCAGGACCGTCACTCTATACTATTCGAGCAAGCAAATTGTATATCAATCACTACTTGGATTTTGCTCAATACCTACACAATTGGTAAGTTTTACAAATACCAAAATATTAAATTACTAAAAATATTTCATACCCTTACGAATATGTATTTGAAAAATTTGCAGGCTTGAAAATGATAAATGTGCTCAGAAATTAGTGACGTGGTTGCGGTCATGCAATTTTACAATGTCCCAAGCATTGTTGATATCAAATGCTAAGAGAATATGGATATCCGAATATGGAGTTATCCCTACGGTACAATTCCTCTCAAATAATTAAATAATGAACAAGTATCTACATGTAGTTTCGAATTAATAATTGTAATCTATACATTCTTTGAATGGTTTTAAGTTTAATATTTTTGGATACTTGCTTATATTCAAAGTATCAACCTAGACAATATGTTCCATGAGTTATGCAAAAATTGTGGCCAACAATGTCAATCTCATTTTGCAAAAATGGTGTGCATCCATTGTAATGACGTAATCGACACTACTGTCAGGTAATTATTTTCATATATTTTGAATTTTAATATAATTTATTGCATCATCCATCACAATTTCTTCTTAACAGATACAATGTTAACATAGAAGTTAGAGATTCCAGTGGTAACCTATACCTTGCTCTTCAAGACAGGCATGCACAATTCATGTTTCATTGTGATGCTTCTTATCTTAGAGATTTAAAAACAAAGATATACATTATTTATATGTACATTTTTTTACACAATATTATTTAGAAACTGTCTAAAACAAAAGATAATTTTAAACTATGTATGCTTTTAATTGTAAGAAAAATGGAGGTGCATTGTTCGACCAACACATTAATTCATGCAAAAATCGTGCATTCTCATTTATAGTGCGAACTCCACAAAAAACAACAGAATTACTTAAACCCCCAATACTGGCGTTCGTACTCAGAGTTGATTGGTGTGACGAATGTTCACACCTTCGTAGAAGATTATCAAATCAAAGGCAAAATGTCTGTAAGTATTTCATTTACTTATCAAATTAAATATTCAATTATATTTAATTGGACCCTTATGTCGCTCAATTTATGATATAGATTTCTATTTTTTTTTAGGATCTAACCTTCATCGAAGTGATCGTTTATAAATAAAGGAGATGTTTTTATCATATATTGAACTATTATTACAAAGTTTCATTTTTTTAAATATACTTTCATGTGCCCGTGATTATAATATTTTACTATTTTTAAATTCTTCCATAGATTGTAATTTTTTTTAATAATGTAAGCACCGTGCGTAGCACGAGTATTCACACTAGTTTCTGCAAATCGTTCATACACGCATAGGGAAGATTCAAGAGTCTAATCACATGATGGTAAGCCTACTCCAAGTCCATGAGGAAGCCGCGAATGACTAGAGAGAGGACGAACTGCATGATGGGCTTCACTATCGAGTTTAGTGTCTTGTGTAGGCTTGAGAATAAGGTTGGGCAGCCCATGTGGGCCTTAGCCGACCAGCCCTTGTCCATTTGGGGCGAAATAGCACTTTCCAAATTCGGTTTGTTAGTTTTCTTAGTAAGTTAGGTTTAGGATTAGTTGGAGTAATATCATTTTCCATTGCTACTTAGGATTTCGGTTCATGAGGCCTATAAAGAGAAGGCTTGTCCGAGTTTTATTCATTCAATCATCAAAAAAGAAATTTCAGTTTTAAGAGTATGTCTCTTAGCTTCGATTAACCTTTGAATATCTTAGATTTGTTCTAAGTGTTCTTCTTGGCTTATCAAGCAAGAATCACACTTGTTTGTGGCGCCATTCTACCAAAACCATAAGTTCCTTTAATCTTTTCTTGAGAGTTAAGAATTAGTCTTAGTTCTCATCTAAGGGATTCTAAGGGGGTTTAGGGTTCCACACAATCAAACCTTGAAATCACGTGTCTAGATCCTGTTGTTGGAATACGAGTTCGCCAAGCACGGTTGGGTTCGTATCAAAATGTCATCAATCAAAGTAGCTATGCTACTATCTAAGGGGCTCTGGTACTTTAACTGTCTCAGGAGTTTCTTATTCTGGGAATAGATCTTAATCCTACTCCACTGCTGTTCTAGAGCTTTACACAAAACGAGTTTGATGGCCACCACTTCATTTAAGTCTTTATTTCCGAGGCTTCTCTCTTTGAGTGCCCATTCCGCAATCTTAGTGTTTGGATGCATCCTAGCTGTGACTCCAATCCCAATTGAGACATGTATTTGCTGACTTGTTGTAGCCACATCCAGAATTATGGTACCCTCAGCTTCCTGAGCCCGATGTTGTTCTTCATGATTGGAAATTGTTTCTCTTGTGGTCAGTCTGGCTTTAGCATTCTCAATTTCCTCTTGTTCCAGCTATTCTTTGTGGGCCTTGTCAATTGTCCTTGCTAGTGAGCAGCTGTTTTGGTTTTCAAATTCCTTCTTGTTTCTTTCTTTCCACACTTGCCACAAAATGTTCGCAGTCAGTCCAATATGTTCCACCCCCTGGCCTTTTCCTTGCCTCTGAGATTCTGATCCGCTATCGTTTGAAATCTCCTTGTTGGTTTTCAGCACTATCCCATTGTATTGGGGCCACCTTCCATATCTCCAATGTGTGTGAGCAGTTTAACAATAAATTTTCCACTGTTTCCTAACCCTCCCTGCAAGTTCTACATACTAGATCTCCCAGTCCTGTCTTGCTGTAGATTGTTGCTCTTACTGGCAGTGCACCTTTTATGCATTTCCAAATGAAGAGCTTGATTTTGTGTTTGATGTTGAGCTTCCATAGAGTGTTCCACATCTGTCTGACTTGTTGGCTTCCTTCTGTGAGACTTGGACCAGCTACACCTATTTCTTCCTTCTCTGCACTGGTACTCTTTTCCATTAGAAGTTTATAGCCTGAGCTGACTGTGTATGCTCCTCCTGCATTGTGTTGCCAATAGTAACTGTTCTCCTTCCCTATCAAACTTAAGGGAATGTTCAAAATCTTCTTTGCATCACTTTGATTGAAGGATTTAAAAATGGTGTTTCTATTCCATCTTTTATGACTGATTAACTCATGCATCATCTTCAAGTCACTGTTTAGAGGTCTAGGGGAAGTAGGCTTATCAGAAGTTGATCCAGGGATCCATTTATGTTTCCAAATGTTTCCCATTGCCAATTCTTCTGATCAAACCTTTATCAATTAAGCTTCTGGCTCCTAATAGACCTTGCCATATCCAGGAGGCATTCTTATGAGGCTTGCATTCTAAGATAGAATCATTGGGGAAGTATTTTGCTCTCAACAACTTTGCTGATTAGGAGGTTTGGTTTGGTGAGTATCCTTCAAATCTACTTACCCAACAATGCTTTATTGAAAGCTTCTAGGTCCTTGAATACCAGCCCTCCTTCATTTCTCTTCATTAACATTTTCCTCCAAGACAACCAATGCATTTTGTTTTTACCATTTGTTTCTCCCCACCAGTAATTGGCCTTCAGTGCACTAATATCTTTACATAGCTTCCTTGGCAGTTTAAAGCAAGACATGGCATAAGTAGGCATTGACATAGAGACTGCTTTTAGTATTACTTCTTTGCCTGCTGTGCTTAGTAGCTTGTTCCTCCAATCCTGAAGCTTTCGTTTTATGTTTTCTCTGATGAAACCAAAAATCTGGTCCTTTGTCCTAGAAATCACCATTGGAAGTCCTAAATATTCCCTTGTTTCATCTCTACCTCCCTCCCAATGAGCTGCACACTTCTTTCCTTTGCCCCAGGGGCATGTTCTTACTAAAAAAGACAGAAGATCTGTCAAGGTTGATCAGTTGCCCTAAAGCCTCTTCATAGGTTTTGAGGATCTTCATGATTTCATTGGCCTGTTGCATGTTAGTTTTACAAAAAATGAGGGAATCATCTGCAAAGAAAATGTGTGTGATGATAGGCCCTTGCCTGCTGATCCTCAAGCCTTTTATCTCATTCCTCTCTTCAGCTTTCCTCAATAGATTTGAAAAACCTGTTGAGCAGATTAAGAATAAGTAAGGAGACAGGGGGTCTCCCTGACTTATTCCCCTACCTGGTGTTACAATGCCTTTAGTTTCCCCATTGCAATTGAAGGAGTAGGTGACAGTTTTCATGCAGCTAGTGATCCGATTGATCCATTTTGTACAAAAACCCATCTTCTGCATCATTGCTTGCAAAAAATACCACTCCACCCTATCATAGGCTTTGGTCATGTCTAACTTAATTGCCATGTATCCTTCTTTTTCTTGCCTTTTATTTTGAGGTAGTGCATGTATTCATGAGCTAAGATCACTTTATCTAAGATTTGCTTGCCTGGGATGAAAACAGATTGGGTGTTGCTTATGCAGTTGTCCAGAACAGATTTCAGTCTATTGGCCAAAATTTTGGAAATGGTTTTGTAGATAACACTGCACAGGCTAATAGGTCTAAAGTTTTTCAAACAGGTTGGGTTCAGGATTTTGGGGATGAGAGAGATAACAGTATGATTGATAGATTTAAGCATAAAACCAGAGCTGAAAAAGGATTGAATTGCTGGGATCACATCACCCTTGATAATGCTCCAGAACCTTTGGAAGAACAAGGGGGACATGCCATCCTGACCTGGAGCTTTATCAGGCTGCATGGAGAAAAGAGTTGATTTGATTTCATCCTCCTCTACTAGTTAGCTTGGTGTTCATTTCCTGAGTTATGGAGTGGGGGATACCCTCTAGAATTTTTGACATATCACTCCTTCCTCCACTGGTAAACAACTCTCTAAAGAAATCTGAAATTTCTGAGACTATTTCATCCTTATTTTCTGTCCACGAGCCATTCTCCCTTTGCAGTTTCCTGATCCTATTATTTGTTCTTCTCCCCTTAACATAGGCATGGAAATACTTTGTGTTCTTATCTCCCTCTCTCAGCTAGTTAATTCTGGCTTTTTGTGTGATGCCCCCACTTCTCCCTAAGGCGAATCAAAGAGTATTCGCTGGACACCTGCCCAACTCTCGCCAGAACTCAAACAATTTCTATTCAAACTTATAACGGTACTAAAAGTCGATAACCAGAAAATACACATACAAATAGCGCGGAGGCGTTCAAGCTTAATGATTTTTAACAATCACCCAATCATTACATCGGGTTCCCATAATACAGCCCAAAATATACAATATCTAAAAATCTAGATAAAAGAGTTGGAACCCTATTACATGAGTACACAAAAGAGAAATTCCTCCGAACCTCATTCCAAACCCAAACCTGTTAAGGAAAACAAATCTACAGGGTGAGCAAAACGCTCGTGAGGCCAAGAACACACATGCAAGCACATTGATCAAGTAGCAATCCCAATTTACAAGTAAAGCATCAATATTGTAATAAATAACAATTCGAGCAGAAAAGTAAGTAGAAACAATTCAAGGATATCGGAGCTCTCAGGAGCTAATTTCCACTTACTTTGTCAATGTCATTCATATACCTTCCCGTAATGACACTCTGGCAACCGGGTCGGTATTTTCATTCCGTAGATCATCACTTACTTCCCTCCGTCCACCGTGCACCTCCCGGGCCTGCAAGACATTTATAAGGCGATACTCCTCGAGTATGCCAAGCAAGACCTCTCATTAGGTCGAGCTTCATTATCTCATGGCTCGCCAAGATTCCCGACCAAGCCCATGCCGGCTCGAGTCCAAGGTCGGCCTATGAATTTGGGCATCCCCATTTACAATTGAGAGTCGATGAGATTCACTCCAACGACGTATGCAGCCATAGCATACCATTTCATTTCATTCAATCATTTCATTTCATTCAATTAAGTCATTCATAATTCCATTTGGTACATTTGAATCATTAGTCATTCATTTCAAATAAGAACGAGTGCGGTAAAATACACACTCGCCTTCATTTTCAAAAACTCCAAACAACTATAACAATTAAGCATGTATCAAGTATTCATACACTTGACACTCACCAATATAAGTAATGAGGAAGAAATGTCCCTCGGAGCTTTAGGCGTTCACTATGGGATCCTCTTGAAGGTCCTCTTATGTGCCTGAGCAATTAACAATAGACTATCATTTATAAACCGCTACTATTAAAGAAGATCGTACCATAGTACAATCTTAGAAAGTCTCATAAAACCAGCCCTATTTATCCTAAATCAAGACTCTCAAGTGGGGTTTCAAAGTACAAGAGAAATTTAGTTTTCGTCTTGGAAATCAAGTATAAAACGTTCAAGTAATATTGAAGGAATAAGAAGGACTTGAAAAACTTCATTTCCTTGATATTCGGAAATTTTCAGTTTTGATACGATACATTAGAAAAATTGTATCTCACGTTCCATATGTCGAAAATTGGAAAACTTGGTACCGTTGGAAACCTCTTCCAAAGTACTAAAAGTTCCTAGAATACACTTTTCTAAGATTCCAAATGAAAAACATTCAAAAATAAGCTCAAAGTCGCTGTTTTGGTTCATAAGGCAGATTCAAGTTGGTTTTTGGCCAACTTTGAAAATTCAGCAAACTTCACTTAATTGGAACTAGCTTTTGAAATTTGGAACTCTATTAGAGTCGCAATCCAAGTTTACAATAAAACAAGCGGGATGAGAAACGAAGTTTTGAGCATTAAGATATGGCAACTCAAAGTTACCAAAATTCCCTTGTGAAACAAGGGTTTTCCAAACTCGAGTCATGAACTTTGGAAATTTATTTGAGCCATGAAACGGCCTCAGAATAACACCAAAATTAGCAGTATAATACTACCATATAAGGGTTGCCCCTCTACCAAATTTCATGGAGAAATAACTTCAGGAAGGTAGTCAACCAAACAACCAAAGTTTCGAAAAATCCTAAGGCAAAACTGCCTTGAGTTTTTGTTTTCCATTCCAAACATTTGGCCAAGGAAAATCCTTCAAACATGATTCATTTGTGTAGGAAAATCCTAAGGAACATTCATGGTACATTTGGTAAGTGTTTTAACTCAAGGAAATTCAATTGGCAAGTCCACACCAAGTCTAGCATCAATTTTGCCCAAAATTTAGGGTTTTCAAGAACAGGGCAGGTTTCGTATTTTGATCACAAATCACTCAATTCAACTCAGAATTGAGCATGGTTGGTGGCATTGGAAAATGCATTCATAAAACTATAATTTCACAGAAGAAATTGTTTTGAAATTCAACACACAACTAGCTCAAATTCGAGCCTCAAATTGTAGCTTCTGAACTTCGTTCCAGGAAAACAGAGAAACAGGACAGTCATCTTTAAACAGTTGGTACGGGATACTCGGGTGGAATTAGGGGTTGTATTTTATACCGTTAGAAAGCTAAGAATATCTAGTTTCAAATGCCACTAACAACACTTGATTTTGACATCGGAGCACAGAGTTATGGATGAAACAAGAAGGCTATCTGAGCATTACGGGAAAATTTTTCCAGGTTTACTAGCTTTGTGAGATTAATCCATTTGACCAACCAAACCTCAATATTTTTCGATGAAACTTTATATACCATCTATACAACATATAAATATCATATACAAGCCATTAAAACCTCAAAATTCTGCAAAAAAAGGCACGATCATAACAGGGGCAGAATTGAAAACTTTACATCCATGCACTCCTTGAAGTTTATACTAGCTATGCACCATTAATCTACCAATTTGAGCACTAAACCAACATTAAATCCATCATCAATCATCACATCAGCCATCAATCCAAGAGTGGGAGTTCATAGAGCCCACATTCAAAATTTTCCAACAATAACAAGCCACCCACATGAATATCTAAGCTCATAAGTGTAAATCAATTTCCATAGGCCAAGAATTTGAGGATTGATCGTCACTTACTTGTGTTGGTGAACAAGATAGAATTTTCGGCCCTCTCTCACCTCAAGAAAACCGTGTAAAGCTCCTCCTTTTTGTAGCTTAAGATGATCTCCAAGTATTAAGCTAAGTGTGTGTGAAATTTGGAAGGAATTGGAGATGATTTGTGCAAGATTTAGAGATGAAGAATGAAGAACTCGTTGGGTTATTTTTGCAGCTGATGGCCGGCCACTTTGTGAGGAAGAGAGAGTGTGTTTTGATCTAATTTGGCTTCCTAAGAAAGCTTTATTTGTGTGGCTAGAATTGATATAAAAGTCAACTCTTTAATAGTGCGCGTACGCGCGCGTTTTGTGCTCGATTCCTCTCGCGTTTATTTCACTAGTGCACTAAACCTTTAATGCACTCATAATCATATTAATATTATTTACTCTTAATTGTCCCAAAATAAGAGTCTAAAGTCTCTCAATTAAATCGCGCGTGTAAAAACGCGTATCTCCAAATTAAGCGCGTTAAAGCGAAACTTCCAAGAATTCTTATAATGATGGTACTAATAACTATCACTTGAGTATTAAACATAAAATACCTATATTAAGTCCATCCTGCAAGTCTCTAATTTTCCAAGGTTATTGTATTCTTGAATCGATTATTGACTCCAATCGTGTATTCACTATTTTCAATTAACGAGCTTCCAAAAATTAAATTTTGAAACGAGTCACTTTAAAAATATAACGAAACTATAATTCCATGTAATTAGGTCTAAAGAGGTTAAAAAATAATATTCGGATTAAATGGGCAGTTAAATATTTAAATAAACTCGAAATGAAATTTTAAAATAATAAAAATTTTGTGAGACATCACATTTTGGCTCCAAAAATTCTCTCTCTCTTTGTAGGCTTCTTTTAACTGGTTTTTAAGCTCAGCAGTTTTCTCCTTTTTGTTAACAGAATCTAAGTCTCTTACTCCTTCCAATTCCTTTTCTATCTCTACAATCCTCTTTAGAATTTGCTTGGAAGGTATTTCTCCATTTTAGTAGTTCAACTCTGCAGTTTTTTATGTTTTTGGTAATTTTGAACATACGTGAACTAGGCTCCTCCTTCTGCCAAGCTCTCTCCACTACCTGTTTAACCCCTTCCCTTTGGAGCCATCTTTTATCAAAGTAAAACCTTTTCTTCTTTTTCTCCTTTCCTGGATCTATGTCTAAGAATAGCATGCTATGATCAGAAGCATAAGTATCCATGTGCTAGCATCTTGCCTTTTCAAAAGTCTAAAACCACTCAAAGCTGCCCAAACATATATCTAATCTCTGCTTTACCTCTCCTTCATTATCCCAATGATTGCTCCAAGTCCAAGGTGATCGTCAAAACCTATGTCTATGAAGTTATTCTGATCCATAAAGTCCTTGAAGCTCCTCTCCTCTCTGG